CACATATTGCATAACCTAAGATTGGAATACAAATATTAAACATCGTTTGCAATCACGTGGACAGACATGTACGTATACAAAGTGCTAGATATATAAAGCACTTGCCTCATATCAAACGATGTATCATACATATGAGCAGCACTATGACGCATTAGGCTTGTAACCTCTTCGACAGTATGGCGATGCTAACGCAAATGACTATCGAAATAGGTCCAGCGGATCATAGGATTGAAATTAACTATGAGTGATTACTATTATTTCCATTGCTGGTTAATTCTTAAAATGTACATATAAGGATCAAAATTGCGGGTATCAATGTATCAACTACGGTACCTGTGCACAGTTGAATAATTCGAACAACGCCGAGACCATCAGCAACTTAGATGCAAGTTTAATAACCGATCTGAAAAGAGAATCAATCACATTTGTTTTTTCATCTTTCAAATACATTATCTATTTATTTTACAGAAACCTCTTGATTTGAATGTTGATGTTGTCACATTAGGAACTCTGATATTAATTCTCAGATATAACACGTTGTTTGATTGAATAATGTTCAATGCAGATTTTTTTCGACAATCTAAAAATAACGAAAATTTACTCACGCGAAAAATGGAATATTAACAAGGACAAAACGAACGTATGCTCTTGTTTTAATGTACTATTAACAACATAAGAAAACAGTTGTGTTTTAATAAGGAAGGATTCACGAATAAATGTGTTTGATATGCTGTCTTCAGAAATAAAGATAGTAATTATAATGAGACATTCAGGTGAGCTTCATATATTCAGACTCTTAAATTCCCAGTCAAAAGGACTTGATATAGAAGGCTGGGTAACTACAACAGTTTTTTTGTATAAGATATACCGGATAAGCAATGTCTAGATAAACGAGTCTCAACTGAAAAAGAACACAACATTTTTAAATGTTCTTACGGGTCAGAAGTGAAGAATAAGGGAAGAACACCATTCACTGCTAATGTTAAAAGACCAACAGCCACGGCGAATATAACTGAAAGGAAAATATATATTTCCATAACTTAAAGAAGAAGAGTACATACAATCATATAATGTATATAATTGCTATTTTTGTAATAGGGCATACCTCCCAACGAAATATACAGATAACATATAAACATAGTTGCATAACAAGTGTGGTGACTATTTCAATGACATTTTCACGACATTTGAATAAAAACTGAAGGAGTTGCTCGGACATAACTCCGTGTACACACAAATGAACGGTAACGTTTTAGTGACATTACAAATGAGATATAATGCGCCTCGCAAATAATAAGTAGAACATCTCTTAATGATAATAATGTACGCTGCATTTACGATTATACCTGTGTTATACATTGTAGTAACTTTGTTTCAATAACTTCATAATGTGTATTTTCTGACAATCACACAAGTTCTTTTCGTCTCTCTATGTACGTTTCCATTGTCTCGTGATATAGTTCGCAAACAAACAAATTTTATTTTACAAGATTTCCCGCGTTTTTAACTTTGCTTGATATAGTTGGATCATGGCACGTTCAAGTAACATATATGTATATTCTTAATATTATATATTGTGTAGCACGGAATGTCCCACTTACAGGCTAGTATTACAGCTACCCGAGTAGCAGTGGCGGCCTTACTCGGTTCATTGGCGCCGAGATGGTTTCCAATGCGTACACTTGCAGCCACGGACAGACCAAGGGGTATCTAAAATATAACGCAATAATGATACTGGGGACATGTATCAAACGCAGCTTTGTTGTTCTAAAGAAGAACAAGATAATGCCATTTATAAGTTATGCATCAGACAAAATTTCAATTTCTTAGCTTTTACGAATCCAAATTTCTTTACTTTTAAATTTGAAGTTGGTAAGAAATTCACTTACGTTACTATGTTCTGAAATAAGGAACCGTGAATGAACTTGTTTTACATTTATATCATATCCAAACCTAGCCTCCTGTTGTAAAATGAAAAGAGATCACGTGCATTATATTTCTCCTCGTTAAGCTACCTATACTCTGGAAACCAATCGTCAGCAGTCACGTGGTCAGTTTTGTTTTGTATTTATAAGCTAACTATGACTTAAAGAGATTAAAAGATGAAGTTCAAATTATTTGGAAGATCGCCTCTTTTGGTCGTCTTACTTATTACATTGCTCAGAACCATTTATCTACATATCACGTTAACAAAATGAGGAATTACAAAGAACATATTCAAATAATATGTTTTTGTATAGTTATAGTATGCCCTTAAGCATGAATTTTGAATTTTCATTCTTCATTATAATTTTATTGTTTCAAGCTTATCTGTACTTACCATGAACGCTAATGCTGCCGCATTATAGGCTATCGTATGGCTGGCCAGGGGTACTACCCCAAGTGTACCTAAACACATATTGTAAGATCACTTCCAGTAGCACTTTTTATCAAATGAATACCGTGTATAGACACATCACAGACTTCAAGTTCAACACATTTCATTAAAATCACGCCACAATCTCACTTGGGTTGTGTTATTTCTTTTTATTATTTTGTGACGTTTGAGGAAAGGGTTATGCTATGGGAATCCTACCCCGTATCAACCCTCGACCCATATCAGCCCTTGTCTGCGGTCCCTTGTGCTGATATAGAGGTGTCGGGTTGATACAGAGATATAGAAAAATAGCAATAATGGAAATAGCAATATCATATCATCTAAATGTATTTTAGATAGAAAAGTATTGACAAAATCAAGGGAACTCGATTATCTTTATGTAATAATTACCCCATGTGAATGCATTTAATATGTCATCAAAATATATTGTACTTTTATAAGACATCCGATGCTTAGATAAACGTAATACTTCATTGTGATGTGATTTAATCTTAAATGAACATACACGAATATAAAATTAATGAATTTGGACGTAAAATGAATAAAACGCTTATAAGAATATACAAAAATATTGTAACATTTTATGTAAATTAATAGATAATACCCTGCATTTATACAAACCAACAATGAAGAAGAGAATTTCAAAAGTCCACCATTCTAAACAGACCATAAAGAGACCAGGTAATGCCAGAGAAAAGAACTTTCCCCATTCGTTGAAGCTCTCCAAAGTCCATCCTTATAAACAAACATACAAGCAGTCCATAACAATTCAAAATGAGGCAGAGGTATTTAAAACAAAATCAAATATACATATAAAATCTAACGTCTTCATATTTGACAGATTATGCAGATAATTATAAAAGCATACTATAAAAGTACAAGATGATCGGAGAAATTGCTTCAAATGAAATCAATTTCTAGGATCTACCGGGCTGTCAGAAGTTAGTTCATTTGTGTTGGTGCCCTTTTCGTGTAGAATGTGAGTTCCGATTATGTACCTGTTTGTCATTATTACACTTGATAACTCTATTGTGTGGCTAATGTTAAGCAATGCCTACTCTCCTTTTTCACTTTCCGACATTTAAAACACTAAAGCATGTTTTCGTTCCATCAATATCTCCCTGAACTAGCTGATGTTTAGCTTTACCTCCCCTCCTTGTTCACTTCACGACCTTTCGAACACTAAAGCATGTTTATGTTCCATTTATGGTAAAACCCTAGATATTTCCGTTATTTTTTGGGTAGCTCAACAGGAACAGTCCAGTAGCACACTATTGTTAATACAAAGTCATTGAACATGTATGAGATTGTGCACATCCATTGTATTTACCATCCCATGTCGCCTTATGTCTTCCCTTGGTCAGTATGTAAATGAGGTGGAATAGTACGATCGTCCACTGTGTCAGAGCCACAGATAACGCCGCTCCCCTGTTAACATAAACAAACACGAACAACATTGACGGTATTTTTATACATTCAATGCTATAAGTTACAAACTGGACACGTTAGTAAGTTTTTTTTAAGGTGAGCGTTTTGTCGATTCCATTTTTAATTGAAAATAAATATACGGAAACTAATTTTCTTAAATAATACTACACATACAATTCCGGTTTATGTTCGAAAAAATAAATGATTACTATTAATTATCTTCATTGTCGTAAATTCCCTTAAATTGAAGTAATTAAGAAATAACTAACAAGGATTTAAGAAAAATAATGATATCGATTCATTAACTAAGAACGTGTTTCTCTTTTTGGTTGCAAGGTTTTTACTCACATGATACCAAAATGCAGTCCACTGATAAACAGCGCGTGCAATCCGCAGTTGATAACGTTTGACACGAAGGCAATAACCAGACTCGGCATCACAATGCTCTGTAAATGTCGAAATAGTTCTGTAATCACAATGCTCTGTAAATGTCGAAATATTTCTGTCATCACAATGCTCTGTAAGTATCGACATAGTTCTGTCATCACAATGCTCTTTTAATGTCAAATAGTTCTGTCATCACAATGCGCTGTTAATGTCGAAATAGTTCTGTCATCCCAATGCTTTATTAATGGCGAAATAGTTCTTTCATCACAATGCTCTGTTAATGTCGAAATAGTTCAGTCATCACAATGCTCTGTTAATGTCAAATAGTTCTGTCATCACAATGCTCTGAAAATGTCGAAATAGTTCTGTCATCACGATGCTCTGTAAATGTCGAAATAGTTATGTCATCACAATGCTCTGTAAATGATGAAATAGTTCTGTCATCACAATGTTCTGTACATGTCGAAATAGTTCTGTCATCACAATGTTGTGTAAATGTCGAAATAGTTCTGTCATTACAATGCTCTGTAAGTATCGAAATAGTTCTGTCATCACAATGTTCTGTAAATGTCGAAATAGTTCTGTCATCACAATGCTCTGTTAATGTCGAAATAGTTCTGTCATCACAATGCTCTGTTAATGTCAAATAGTTCTGTCATCACAATGCTCTGTAAATGTCGAAATAGTTCTGTCATCACAATGCTCTGTAAGTATCGAAATAGTTCTGTCATCACAATGCTCTGTAAATGTCGAAATAGTTCTGTCATCACAATG